AGAGTGTCGGAGTTTTGCCGAGCTACAGGTGCCGAGGCGCAAGTCTACCGCTTAGAAGCTGCTTTTGGCCTTTTTGGGCAATCTACTGACGCGAAGCCATGTGGATCCTGCTGCTGTTGAACTTGGTCGTGTCAGAGGCGGACAAGTCTTGTCCCTACTACCAGGTGGAGCACTTAGCAGATCACAGCGCGTTGGGCCGGGCCAGGGCCGGAGTGCAAAGTTGGAACCTGCGGAGTGGATACGTGCCGCCACGATTCAAATCTCAGGTTTCCCCCTTGTCCAGCTCAAAGGCACCCTTTGTCCTTTGTGTTTGGCGGATTTCCCACTTTAAACGATCAACCCCAACAAGGTTCTCCTCTTTTCCTGTGAGGGTTACTGGCCTGAGACGCGGTCAGGCCAGTGGCTGCATCCTCGATCAGATGGAGAAGGTTTGCGAGGGCGAAGCCAATGAAATGATCACGCCCTCTGCCGAGGAGAATATTTGGATGTGCTGCAACTTGGCATGGTGGATTAGGGCACTCGTCTTGGAAGTAGGACATAGGTTGCATGAAATGCACCCTGTGAATGCGGTATGTCAAAGTGACAGGACATGACATGCCCTAAAACTGCCAAAGAGGCAAGTAGCCCCAGTTCTTTGAAGCCTTGCCTTGGAGCTTTCCTTTGACTGCTTCTTGGCTTCTTGCAAGCGGCTGTTGCTAAGGTTGCCCCAATCCATATGTGCCCTGTTCGAGTAACGAGTCCGATGAGACTTGCGCATCCTCGCTGCATTTGGTGCAAAGAGCTAGGGAGATGAAAGGTGATGAGCTTTCGGACTTGCATGCATGTCTGCCTCGTGCCCCAGCTTCTGGTTTGTTGAAATTCTGACATCGCGCACTGCTGTTTCGGGTCAGGGAGGCCAGCGGAACTAGAAAATGACCTCCGTGCAAAGGTCAAGGCCATCAGAAAGCAACTCAAAGACCATGGCAGTCTGGGCCTGGATGGGCTCCTGGAGGTGCGAAAGACGCTGCCAGGCTTGAAATTCCAGCCGTGTAAAGCTGGCCGCGTGTGCCGTTTAGCCGCCATGCAGAGACTTGGGCTTTCGTCATTCTTTTCTGGGCAGGGCAGGGCCTGATGTTCAATTTGCTGACTTGGGGGGGGGGTGAAACAGTTGGCCTTTGTCTTGGCATTGCATTGCGAAGGCCTCCTTGAAAGAACAAGCCACATTGGGCATCTTCATGTTGATCCATGTCGCATGTCGCATGTGTTACATGTTGCAAGTATGTCGTATCAGTGTTGCATACCGGCGACCTGTTTCGGATGCGCACGGCACACTTTTAGAGGACCAGTGTAAAGCAAGAACAAGAACAAACAACCATAATTAAACAACTCAAAGCAACATCGTTGACCGTCCTGGGCAGCGACACTGCCCGTCCCTTGGAGTGTTTGAATTGAGGCATGGTCCCCCACAAAGCTTTCTTTGGAAACGGTATAGGCCGAAGTAATCATTCGGACGCAAGCGCCTGGAGGCTCCTTGGGAGCTCTGAGCAATGCGGGGGCTTCTTCCTGGACACGGTGACGCCCATATGTAAGGAATGGCCTTCTGCCATGCCCAAGCTGCCACTTGGAAAGTTATGAGTTTGGGTCCTTCGGGTCGCGGTGGGATTCCCTTTTTGCAACTTGACGCAAAGGAGAACCTCGAGGTCAGGTTTGCTGTTTCGGCTCCAGCTTGCTGTGTTGGCTCGCGGAGGGTCTGGCTGGCGTGCGGCTAAGCGCCCCCTGACAACGTCGCAGTCGCAAAATGCATTCTGCGGCAGGCCTTGACACCTTGTAAGTACTTCCCTTTTCTCCAATGTGTTTGGGTGCTGGGTTGGTCGTTTTCTCGATGCGTGCTTCAGCCCACTCCCAGCAGGCAATCTTAGACTGCCTAGGTACTGCTAGACAGCGGGCCACTTCTCCCGCTTAAAAATGAGCCCCCCCCCCCCCCATTTCGTGCTTGCTTGTCATGGGCTGAGGATGTGTGAGATGCTGACTTGGCAGTGGGAGGACACATGCCGCGCAGTCCAACGGACTCTTTTGAATGGGCTTGCACGGGCTTGCGTTCAACATGCTTGTTTGTGAACGTTTGTATAGATGGCTCGAGCAGCTCTGCAATCTGCAGGAGCTGGGTGATGGAAATTCCGAGGAGTTCGCGCAATTCAGCTGCCCAATGATCGAGGCTGGCGGTTGAGGCCTTTCCTTCGCCCTTGAGTAAAGTTCGGCTTTTTGTGCTGACATTCTTGCGGGAAACCACAGTGAGGCCCATCAATCCACTGGATGTCTGCAATTTGCCGCGAAACTCGGATGGGAGATTTGCATGAGAACCCGTGAAGTAGAAGCGTGTTGTGCAAAGCTCCTGACCAGGTGACTAGCTCAGGACATGCAGAGGTAGAACATGTGTTAGTTTGACTTTTTCGGAGTGTGCCTTTGTTTGAGCTTTTCTAGTGGGAAACCGCCAAAGGGACACCTACCAGACCCCTTCTCAATGACACGGTTGCCTCCCTTTCGAAGCCGTCCGAACCGTGGAGAGATACATCATCACCCGTTGAGGGGGTCCGGATCGTGCCCAAAAAAAGGGCACCGGAACGGCGCCAGGCCAACCGGGCCAGCGACGGCAACTCTCGCAAGGGACATGCGCTGAGCTGGGATCCCCAGCGTCGTGAGTTGTAGAGGGGCCGCTCCGCTCGCGGACTTCCGCGGTGGACGCTTTGACGCTGACCGGGGAACGCCGGTCAAAAAGAAAAAAGAAGCCCATGCTGGCATCCGGGTCCGGTTGGGAGAATTTTGCCCAAGTCCTTGAATCCAGAGACTTGCAATGGGGTGTTGCAAGCGAGCCTTGCCGAGCCGTGCTTGAAGATGTCCAATGCAGCTCGCAAAGAGACGTCTCGCCTTGTTTGACTCCCGGAGAAAAGGTTGCACGTGGGGCGATGGGGGTGGGTTGGAAGCCGGAAAATGTGCGATGGCGCTGGGGGCCTTGCCACGTAGCAGCGACTTAGTGCTTGTCCACTTGGCTGGTGCTGGCACGGGCAAACACTACGCCGGAGGCAGACAAGAGGCCCACAAAATTAAAATTGTGGCTTTTTGCCAGTGAAACAGAGATCCCCCACAGAGGTTCATTCATGTGCCCTCGATGGTACGGGTTATGCGTTCAGTCCGGTCAATGCAGAAGAAATACATGCCGTCAACCTTGCCGCTCTGGCAGTGAAAGACGTACTCGCATGGCTCAAGTCAAATATTTTTCCTGGAACTCCAGCACACTTCAAACAGGCCTGACAGCGAGGAATTTGCTTCCCATGGAGATGGAGATTCATCAGCAGCTCACTGGCCCGGACCATGCGGAAGCCCACCGCAAGAACATTTTGTATGCGTATATTGCCCTCTTCTTCGCTGTGTGCGTGACTGGCGTCACGACGGGCTCTCTCTTTGACGCCTTGTTGTTGAACATCGGTGGGAAGGACGCTTCGCCGCAGGATCTGCCTTAAATTGAAGCCGCAGTCGCAAGCAGGCAAGCCAGGGCTCTTTCAGCCCGCAATTGGGATGGATTTGTCTGGAAGCACCGAAGCCTCGCAAGGTGGAAGCTCCCGTCCAAACAAGCGCTAGAACGACAGCTCATGTTTCTTGCGTGTGACAGTCCCCTGCTAGCATGTTTCCGGAGCGGTTTCGCGGTTTCGCACTGGGCAAATGTTTCTGTTTTCTTTCTGGGACCTGGGACCTGGCTCGTCGGCTGAGGATGGGAACAAGTTGGTGGGCGCAGTGGAGTCCTTTCAGGGTCTTGTCCAGCTGGGCGTGGCGTTTCCCATGGGCTTCGTCGCGGACAAAGTGCGGCGAGTGAAGCTGCTGAAGATGGTGGTGCCTGTGTGGACCTTCGGTCTGGCGGTGGTTTTGCTTGGGCTGGCCATGGAACACGTGCCACTGATGTTTGCAGCTCGGCTTTGCGACAAATCCAGCAGTGCGGGTTGCAGGTGCTGAGGTTCGCAGGCCGCCCTTCGCAAGGCCACTGACCTGTCCTGTTTGACAATTTGTGCAGATCCGTTGCACACCCCAGCGGCCACGGCCGTCGCTGAAGCCGAGGTCGGCACCGGGCTCTTTGCCGCCTGCTCCCAGACCTGGATCAATGCAGCGCAGGTCTTGGTCTCGGAGTCCGCCTCCCCCGGGGAGCAGCGCACCACGGCGCTGTCCCGCTTGGCCAGCACGCGTTTGGCGGCCTTGGCCACGGGCCCGGCCTTGCAGGAACGGAATGCTGAGAATAAACCGGGTTCCGAGCGCCAGGCTTTTAGCACCCAACAACTTTGTTGTTGAAACCTACTTGGCTCACTTGTGGGTCACCCAGTCTTGTCATGCAAGGTGACCCAGATGGGTTGAGGATTGTCGCAAGTGTCTTGTAGGGAACGGCTCGCTACATGCCTCAGTGAATCTCTTGGGTATGCCTGAGTTGAGAAGGGTACAGCATGGCATGAGGGAAGGTCATCAGCAGGCGCTTCAGCCGCTAATGCTTGCACACTTGGTCATCAGCAGGCGCTTCCACCGCCAATGCTTACACAATTGCAAAGCAGGCAAGCACAGCCTCGAGCAGTATCCGGCAACCTCCGCAGCACCATCCAGAATAGCAGCACCCACTGAACCGCTCAAACTCTGGCCCGACCCCTTACGCACCTTGCACCGCATGCGGCCCAACACCCTCCAACAGCTGCGCAAAAAGCGCTCTGCAAATTCACCCGGAAGCAGCAGACAAAAACACGAGTCACACTACGGCCCAGTACCTTCCAACTGTACCCTGGCGCAACTGCACCCTGCCAAAACCTTGTGTCACACCCACTCTCCCCACTTAAAGATAGAACCCTTACAGCTTTCAGCTGCGAGGTGGAGAGAACTTAGACGTGGTTAAGCTCGTTTTCGCATTCATTCGCGGCTGCAATGCCTGAACCTAAATAGCGAACAGCTTGGCCGTGGTTGGCTTGTTGCTTCCCGGCATGTGTCGTTGAAGGTGGTGACGGCTTGCATCCTTGCAAGCCGCTCAAAGCAGGCTTCAGCATTCCCTAAAGGCTTGCATGAGGTGCTTGCGTCCTGCTCCTGTTTGGTGAGGCTTGCGTCCTTCTCCTCTCTGGCGAGAACCACTGGGGCAACGCGCTGCTCCAAAAGGTGACCATTTGCGGTGCTTTGCTTTGGCCGGGGCTTTTCGTGACCTTCAGGACTCGAACGCGGGCGTGCTTTAGGATCTTGTACGGTGTGTGCTTTCCATTCGGTGGAAGGATGTTTCTTATGGCCACCCCACCCTCACATGGCCAATGTTCCACTCTGGCGGCCCTGCAGTCCCAAAACGGTGTCCCCGGTCTTCCCCGTGGCAAAATGTGACATCCTCCCCTTTGGGGGAGCCCCCTGTTTTGGGTTCGACGCCAATCCCGGTACAGCCACAGGATGAAAGACGTGCCCGCCTTGGAGAAGACCTCCTCCGGAGCGTCCCAAAGCGGCTTCGACCAAGACAAGATGGTGGAGAAGCTGTGCAAGGTTCAACGCCGCTGGTGGATGGCTGGCCGGGCCTTCTCAAAAACTTCCCAACTCCAAACCCCATCCAAAGTTCCGCCTGGCAGGCATCTTTGAGCTGCTCTCCTTGTGCACGCTTACGGGGGCCGGGATGACCATCAAGTTCTTCCCCCTCTTCTTTCGGGTGGACTATCACTTCACCCCCCTCGAGGCGCTTTTGCACTAAGTGAATGTGCACAGGTCGGCCGCTTGCTTGCTTTTCAACCATTACGCTTCCCCTACTGTACTCAACCCAAACACAAATCAATCAAGTCAATCCCTGCAGTTGTGCATTCTGGATTTTGCCTACCCCTTGTGCATTTCCGTGATGATGGAGCTGTGCCAGCGCTTGTCCAAGCGCATGGGGCGCTTGTCAGCGATCGCCTTCTTCCACTTTTTCGGCGCGCTTTTTCTTTGGGCGCTGAGCTACTCACATCCCCTTTCGCTGGTTCTGCCGCTGTTTCTGCTGCGGGGCGCGCTCATGAACGCCCGCGGCCCCATAGTCCGGGCGGTGGTGATGGACCTAGTGCCTTCGGACATGAGGGGCAGGCGCCTTTGGCTAAAGACTTCAAAGCGCAAAAGGGGGAAAAAGCAAGTCAGGGAGTGTGGGACGCCCAGTTCGCCCCATTCCGACTGAGGTGGAACTCCATCCAGTCCATGCAGGCCTTCTCCTGGTCAGGCAGCGCTGCTTTGGGCGGCTATTTGGTGGACTTGGCGGGCGACTACCGCTTCACCTTCGTGGTGACGGCCGGGCATTCAACAAAAAGGAGCTGTCAACGGGCATTGGTCAGACCAGTATAGTTCATCCGCCTTCTTGTTTGTCCATCCGTTTGTCCATCCGCTTTTTGCAGCCATCCGTCATGGCACTGTACAGTGTCGTACGCTGGTTTTTGTGTTTTTTGTCATGCCGCATTGTTTGTCGCATCTATGGTTTCTATTTATGGCGTGTCTACCTTGCCCAACTTATCAATATAGAGTACCACGTCTACATTCCAAGTGCTTCTTGTCTATCGTACACGTTCCAATCCATCCGTGTATCTAAAATGACTCTATCCAATATGTCGTGTAGATCATGGATATCATTTTATCTATGCTGTGAACCATAGATATATATCACATCTATTGATACGTCTTCTTTATTGAAATCGCTACGCGATCCGCCGACGCCAGTGGACAGTCCCCTATTAATACACTGGGGCTGATCAATCTGGAGTCAGCACTGGCTCAAGGGACAATTGCCAGACCAGGGCTGCACAAAGTCAGCTCGCCCCCCCTCGGCTGAATTTGGGGTAGGGAAAAAGTTGTTTTTGCCTAGGTCACGTGGGGTTCTTGGCGCGTGGAAGCAGAATGCAAGCAACGCGTTGCACCTCTGACCCTGGGTGAAGGTTGCTTCGATTTTGGAGAAGGAGAACGCAAACAACGCCCCTCTGACGTCGGCTGCAGGGTGCCTCAAATTTGGGGCCGGGAGCAAGACGTCTTTTGCCTAGGTCACATCGGGCTCTTAATGTGCTGAGGGAGAACAAACAGCGCCCCTCTGACGTCGGCTGCAGACTGCCCCGAATTTGGGGTAAGAAAAGTGTTTTTGCTTAGGTCAATTGGGGCTCTTAACGTGTGGAAGGAGAACACAGACAGCCCCTGACGTCCGCTGCAGGGTGCCTCGAATTTGGGGCAGGGAGAAAGACGATTTTTTGCCAAGGTCCTATGGGGCTCTCAACAAGTGAAAAGAGACCAAACGACGGACGTTGGCTGTCGGTGCAGGGTACCTCAAGTTTGGGGTCAGGAAAAAGACACCTGGTCTGGAAGACGCACTGCCTGGGGGCTGGGGGCGCAGGCGCCGACCACTGGGTGTGCAGGTACGTGCGCGGCTGGACTGGCTGGTCGTAGAGGAGATCGCGCAGCTGGACATGGCGCTCTGGGCGGACCTGGCCTGCGTGGGGCTGAGCACCAACGTAAAGTTCCTTCTGCTGGGCGACTTCCGACAGCGAGCGGATGGGCCGGGCGCAGGCACGAGCTCACGGAAACACCCCTCTGACGTCGCTGCAAAGTACTTTGAATTTGGTGTACACGGGAGTCTCAACGCGTGGGAGGAGAACAAACAACGCCTTTCTGAGGTGCCTTGAGTTTGGGGTAGTTAAGGAAACAGATGTGTTTGCCTAGGTCACATGGGGCTCTTAACACGTGGAAGGAGAGGGTGCCTTGAATTTGGGGTAAGGAAAAAGATGATTTTTCGCCGCCGTGACATGGGGCTCCGCCGCTCTGACTTCGGCCGCAGGGCTGAACACGTGACAGGAGAAGAACACTAGGGTCTCTTTAAACCACCCCCCAAAAGGGAAAAAAAACAAGGCCAGCAAGGCCCCATTTTTTGGTAAGTGCAACAAGGCCTTCTTGGCACTTTCAGACACGCAACATTGACCAAACGCAGAAAATACCAGAGATGTAGGGAATGCTGGGAATGCAGCCGGCTAGCCACAAAAAAGTTCAAAAAAACTAGGGTTTTTGATATTTTCCAAGAGCAACCATCCAAAACCGATACTCGTGCTGGGCACTCTGTAGCAACCCCCCTTAAAAATAGACTTCCAAAAGCACGATAAGGTAGGGGATGTTCGCAGCAACTGCTCCGTACAGGTGGGGAATTGCAAAAAATCACTAATTTTTGCAAATTTCACAGTTCCTCAAAGTATCACTGCGCTTGGCCCCACCCAAACCCGCTAACAGGCCAAAACCAGCATCGCTTAAAACAGCAAAACACCACTAGTCTCTGAGAAAAAAAAGAGACAAATTCATGGCAACAAGATAATCCTGATGATGCTGGGGATGCAGATCCTGCGCGTCCGGGGGAACCCCCCCCGTACGATGGACACTTGGAGTCCATGTTGCAAGCACTTTGCCAGATTTTGACAGATGTTGCCAAAAATTGCATAAAACGCATAGCCTA